GAGCCTGTCCCATGGCTAGTTGATAATAGGCAGATGTGCAAACCGATATTCCGCAGTTGGAGCCCTGGGGACAAGGATCTGAATCCCTAGCCTTTCACTCCCTACAGAGGTAACGGCCGTGCCCTTCCCGCACTAGCCACTCCTGGCACGGGCAGCAGGAGATACACTGTGTGCTGCCAGCCCATGCAGGGTAATACTCACCTGGAGGTTCTAGTTGCCCCTGCGGATCTTTTCGTGGGTCCCCTGATTCCACGGCCCCAGCCTGAAACCCCATGCAACCCTGATGGGTTCTTGGGCTGAAACCACAGAACCCAGAGACTCCAACAAGCCAATGAGAGATGTCACACTCACTCACACACACACACAAAGCCGGCGACAAACAAAGCAGACAACAGACAAGTGGACAGTGACATAAACAGACAACCTAACCTGGTCCGGACCTACTCCCCGGTCTCCTCCTGACCGAGCCCTTGGCTACAAGGTCAGTTCCGGAGTCCAAACGGGGCCAGAGGACGTCTCTGCCTGGCTCCTACCAGCGACCCACCAGCGCGTCCGCCTAGGTCCTGTGCCGGCGTCCTGATCAGGGGTCCTGCAAGGGGATTCCGCGTCCCTTGCCCAACACCACACCCGGCTAGTCCGGGGATGGATTTTCACACTCCTCCCTCAGCCCTGAATTCTATCCGGTAGTCTGTGGGGAAGGCAAATTCCGGACGAGCCCCCAAATGTTAGGGACCGACCTTCCACAGTCCCACGGGACAGAAAAGCAGAGACATTGAGGATGCAATCACACAAGAGGAGGTTTATTTTCTGGCTAGCCAGGGTCCAAGCCCCAGAGCACCAACGCAGTGGCCACTCTCGCAGGCAAGGACCTTAAAAGTTTTTTTAAACGTTCATAGCCATGACCCAAATTTTATGCCTCTAGATATCTAATTTTTTTTTTAATTTAAAGAGTTTTATTCTGAGCCAAATATGCTCAACCATGTCCTGGAGAGCCATACCCAAGAAGTCTTGTGCAAGTGGTCTTACCGTGGTTGGCTTATAATTTGGTTTTATACGTTTTAGGGAGACAAGAATTATATGTGAAGTCATAAATCAATACATGGAAGGTGTACATTGGTTTGGCCCAAAAAGGCAGGACATCTTGAGGTAGGGCATTACAGGTTATAGGTGGGTTTAAAGATTCTTTGATTTGTAATTGGTTAGAAGCTTTTTCTAAAGGTTTGGAATGTTTTAAAGATAAAGAAGTCTGTTAATCAGAGGCAAGCCACACAAACAAATACAGAGACTCAAGTGACCTGTTAAGTAAATGACCTGCAGGTGGGATTTAAGCTTTGCCTTGCATAGCCTTGGGCCTGTTAACGAGTTGCAGAAGGTATCTCCAAGAAGGGAGAGGGCATGAAGAGACATGTCTGACCTCCCTTCTCATGGCCAGCAACTCGGCATTAGAGTATTTCTGTGACTCATTTTTTAAAAAGCTTTAGCATATGCAGAGATGTTCATTATAAAGTTGTTTGTAATAGTAAATAGTGGAATTATTAAATTAAATGTATGTGCAAGATGTGAAACATTATACAGTAGATAAAAAGAATGAACTAATGTGCATGTGTATCATCATACATGGTTTTGTTTTAAAAGTAGTTTGTATAAAATGCATAAAATACAATGTAAATGTATAATGCTTTTCATGTTACAAAATAATACTATAAATTTTATTAAAATGCATTTAAATGTATGCTAGTGCAAAAAAACAATCATCTGGAAGAATGTAAACAAAATCATGATTAAGTGCCACAAAAAAGGGGGTGCAGGGAGGGTAAGATTTAGATGTTAGTTGAAGAGGATTTCCACTCCATCTGAAATGTTTTAATTTTTTTAAGAAAAATGTAGTCATGTGTTTTTTTAAAGTATATGCCTAGGGAAAAGCCTGGAAAACAAGTCTATCAAAATGTTCAAGTGTTTTTTTATGGATGATGGATAGATTCATGATTGTTATTTTTGATTGTTATTTTCACATATATATGTGTGTGTAGGTATGGGTGTAGGTGTGTTCTCCAAATTCCTCAAGTTAAAAAAAGAAAAGTGGGACATGTGGCTACGATAGTTTGATATTTTGTAATATGGGATCACAAACACAACTTTGAGAGTGGTCAAGATCTCAAGGTGATAAAAGCATTCTGCACATGAAAGGATGTTACATGGGAAGGATAACCCACTCACTGATCCACTATTATCCATTAGATTAAATATTAGATTAACATCTTCATTAAGCTTTAAATTTTCACCTTGGAAATCAGAGAGCGGACCTTTGGAGAAATGAGCAGAACAAGTAGATTTTTGTGATTAAATATTACTACATAATCTGTCTTAAACACTTTTCCTTTTTAAAATGTCAAGATAATTATATGTTAAATATTATCTTAATAAGCCCTAGAAACTCAGATTTTAATTATGGAAACTTAGGACACGTGAGCTTCTAGCCTCCCATCATTTAACTCTGGCCCCACAGAATTTGCAGGTTACGCCAGAACCCTTCCCTCTCTGGTTACCCACTAGTGGACAATATGACATTTTGCTTGGAAATGATATAGGATAATATGATGGAAAATAACTGCACTTTTTCTATTGTGCTTCTCCTGTAAGGCTATAAATAAGTTGAATTGTGCTCCCTTGATTTATGTTTATGACTATTATTATGATGATTTATTTTGGGTTGAGTGCTGACAGTGTGCTGAGTGCTGTACCAGACTCATAAGAAGAAATGGTTATGCCCCAGAGGCTTACATACCAAGACAAACAATTCAGCCATAAAATACACCAGCTAAGAGATGCTTAATCTCAGCAGTGCAATGCTTCCTGGAGTTTCTATGTAGGTGGAGAAAATTTCCTCCTCCCGAGGAGAGAAGGTTAGAGCTCTTTGAAAGAATTTGAGGGCCTGTTTTCAATAGCGATTTCATAGAGGGGTAGAGAAACATCAAAGTGCATGCTATTAGGAGCATAGTAAAGGGGATGGTCAATTGAGGGTTCCCCAGCAAACGAACAGTTTAGAGCTGAGTTAGGTGCTGTGGTTATAGGATTACACTCCAACAGCTTCAGACTAGCAGGCACACTGGACTCCATGGTTTCAGGCAGGTTCAATGTGCTACTTTTAATATTACAACCATCTTGAATCTATTCTGGAATAATACTGGTTATAAACAACTAGCTTTCTAGACGAGTTTTTCAAGATGTGTGTATATATAATAATAATATATATTTTTTTTTTTTTTTTTTTGAGACAGAGTCTCACTCTGTTGCCCCAGCTAGAGTGCCTTGGTGTCAGCCTAGCTCACAGCAACCTCAAACTCCTGGGCTCAAGCAATCCTCCTGCCTCAGCCTCCCAAGTAGCTGGGACTACAGGCATACGCCACCATGCCCAGCTAATTTTTTCTATTTTTGGTAGAGAAGGAGTCTTGCTCTTGCTCAGGCTGATCTCAAACTCCTGAGCTTAAATGATCCTCTCGCCTTGGCCTCCCAGAGTGCTAGCATTACAGGCATGAGCCACTGCGCCCAGCCCAAAATGTATGTTTTAATGAACATTATATTTGAAGCATGTTACTAGATATGAAAAAATAAATATGTGGACAAAGAAGTTTGAGAAATGCTGGGTTAAACAAAATGGAGCAAGTATCTCTATTGTAAGGACTCTCAGAACCATCCATCCGCCCACGAAAATTGGGAATCTCTGAGTTTCACTACAGAATAATTTTGGTAGAACACTTCACAGAACTAGCACTCTGGGAAATACATGTTGGGAGATGCCAAGGGGTGGAAAAGAGAACAAAAGAGAGAATGAAACTACCAGTTTGCTTTAACCAGGAGGGTGTCGGGAGTCCCTTGTCTCCTCTAATTTGAGTGCTACAAGGATGTGACGGGGCCTCGTGTCTCTTCCGGCTGAGCTGAGCAAGGCACAGTCCTCTCCACCGCTTTCCGAGCGTGGTTGGAAGGATAGCGAGGGTAGGATGAGGCAGAATAAAGAAGTCTACACATCTGTGGTAGCCAGCCTCCTACAGGGTCCCCAGTGATCCTGCCTCCTGGTATTCTTGCCCTTGAGGAGTTTCCCCCACAATAAATGGGCTCACTCATGCAACCAGTAGGGTAGTGTGGAAACAACGGAGTGTGGCTGCCAAAGCTAGACGTTGCAACTTCTGCCTTGCTGTTTGGATTGCCTGCTCTGGGGAAAGCCAGCTACCTACCATGTTGGGAGGACACTCAAGTAGCCCTTTGGAGAGATGGATGTGGTGATGAGCAGAAGAATCCTTCTGCCTGTAGCAGTGTCAGCCAGTCTTGGTAGCACCAGGTCAAGTCTTCAGACAACTGCAGCCCCAGCCCACATCTTGACTGCAACCCTATGAAAGGCCCTGAGCCAGTACCACCCACGATTTCTCCCAAATTACCCACAAAAACTATGTGAAATAATAAATGTTTGCTTTAAGCCACTAAGTTTTGGAGTAATTTGTTGTTACACAGCAACAGACAACTAATATAGCATCCTAGATTTTTCAAGATTTCCAATATTCTGTCCTGTTGTTCATCCATGTTTCCTGATTTGGGGGTTCCAAACATTTGGTTACCAGAGGGACTCCTTCCCTTGTGCACAGGGTTAGAGTCGCTGAATTTCAACCAATACCAGGGCTAAAAGAGTTTTGGAGAGGCCAGGCACGGTGGCTTACTCCTATAATCCTAGCACTCTGGGAGGCCGAGGCAGGAGGATCACTTGAGGTTAGGAGTTCAAGACCAGCCTGAGCAAGAGCAAGACCCCCGTCTCTACTAAAAATAAAAAATTAGTCAGGCATGGTGGTGAGTGCCAGTAGTCCCAGCTACTCGGGAGGCTGAGGCAGAAGGATCACTAGAGCCCAGGAGTTTGAAGTTGCTGTGAGCTATGCTAACACCACGGCACTCTAGCCCAGGCAACACAGTGACACTCTGCCTCAAAAAAAAAAAAAAAAAGAGTTTTGCAGAAAAGATCTCTATGACATTCTTTGAGAATATACTACTACCGCCCAGTTCACTGAAACCTTCTATTTCCCAGATGGGACAGACCAATGTCTCAATGAACTGATAAAATTACAGAGATAGCTACCAAGACCCTTTGGAAAATAGACCCACTGATCTGGGTACTGTGGAGGCTGATGCTGATATTGCCCAAACTCCACTACAAGGTAAAGCAGAGGATCAAGGCTCTTCTTACACGACCTGAGTTGAGGGAGTAAAGCTGAATCCAGCTCTCCCCTGTGCAGCATTAGAGAGGAGGAAATCCAATAGAGCCCAAGGATGAAGGCAAGGTTGGGAGGAAGGGAAACAATAGAAAGGGTCTGAAGAAAGCTCTGCAGAGATTTGAAAAAATTCTACGAGGCAAGAAAGACTGGAAGAAAGATAACACACTTGGAGCAAGTTGGTCAAAGGAGGGCGTGCCCTAGGGCCTGAGTGGGATCCTCTTAGAACAGAGCTGTGCAAGGTGCAGAACGACTTTGGAAAGAGAGTGATCCAACCCACATGTGTGAAAAACCCCCAGATCACACAGGAGAAGCATATTTACCTGAAAGGAATAGGGCAGTTTAGGCAAGGGAAATGCCAGGTAGTGGTTCATAGACCATGGGAGCAGCCTGTGGAACAGAAGCTGTGAGCTAAGGTGACAGGATTCACAGCAGTGGGAAATGGAGCATTAGGAAAGGGACCCCAAAAACAGGTGAGAGAGGGAAGAAAGAAGGGGGAAAGGAGATGCAGAGAAGTATACAGAGTTCTTTTCTCATGGTAACCACTGTCCCCATTACAGAAGCTTGGGAAACACTCACCTGGCTGTCCAGCTGAATATGGATTTCTGGGTGGAGAGGAAAACCGTAAGAAAATAACCCAGGACCTCTGGGCCACCGGTGCCTTTGACGGGAGAGTGTGGGTTGCTTAGGTGGGTATCCATCTACTTTTGCAAGATTGGAAATCTTTTAAGGACTTCTGCACAGATAAGTTGGAATTATTTTCTCCCATTGCACCAAGTCCAGAAATAGTCCATGACCAATGATCCATTACAGCTGCCGGTAGAAATAAATTTACTTGAAACTTCGCAACAGGCTCAATACACAGCCTTGCCCATGGAAACGCACGTAGAGGTAATCAGTATTCCTCTCCAGGCCCAGACCTGGTGGATAATTACAATTAAGCTTCAATGGATTAGCTGCCAGAGGGACAGTAGATAGTGAATGGTATTTTACATCTCTACTTTTTCAGCAAATTTGAGCATGTGAGGTTTTGTTTTGTTTTTTTTTTTGTTTTTTTTTACTTCTCCATGGAAAACAAAAAAGTTATTTCCAATTAATTCAGGAGACTATCCAAATTACTGAAAATTGTACTGTTTTCCATGGCAGGATGAATGAGGTACAGAGTGACTCTCTTCATTGTGTTAGAAATGCAAGGGTCACTCACATTACTTACAGAGCCCCTAGTTTACATTTTTCAATTAGGAGTTAATCAGTGTGCCATTATGAGTAAAAATTGTTGGAGTGACCTTTTGGCTGTATATTTTAACCAGCAAATCTTGGGGGAGGGTTTGATTGAAAGCATGACAGGAGAACAAGGCAAGTTAGACTGATGATAAATAAGAACAATTATCACACTTATTATCTGATAAATAATTTATTGTGATTTGCCATTAATCCATCTCAAGCTACCTCCTGGATAAAAACACACCCCAAAGACTGATTTTGTCGGCTTTTCCCACATCATGTCAGAAACTCTTGTCTGAAAAGCACAAAGGAAGCATTTACCTGGAATATAAAGACCTGTCACTGCACACTTGATCATTTTAATCTGTGCAGATAAATTATGCCCCTTATATAAATGGTAAGTTAGTACTTCTCTTTCAGCTTTAAAAAAAAATCTGTGAGAAGCTGTTTTGAGAAGAAGTCATAGCTCAACACTTAAGAATCTGTTTTATTTTAAGTCTTGTCTTCCATGCTTGTTAAAAGCCATCAGCCTATGCATTTTTAGTCAATGCCTGCAGCATATTCCTAATTTCAGAGACTACATACTATTATCGTAATAAGATAATTAAATTCTTTATGATACTTCATATATTAAATTGGTAAGAATTGGTTAAATCTATAAAAATGATTCTAAATGTTGGAGACCAGTGACAAATGTTGATTATGCTACTCCACTGTACTTGTTGGTAATTCCAATAGGCATATGTATATTATTTTCAACCCTGATGATAAAGACATATAAGTAATAAAGACCTTTTGGACACATAGGTTCTATTTCCCTAGTGACTTCATCTATTGACATCTTGAAAAATAATATTAATACTCTTTTCCCCTTTGAGCCCTCAAAGAGAGACACCATGGTGACTCTCATTCAAAGATGAGGTTTTACTTCTACCACTTCTTTTCTGTCTGTGTAATTTTTGTTAAAAAATGGATTTCAAAAAAAGTAAGTTAATTTGATTTTATTATTATTTAACTCTGATGTTAAACAAATATTCTTTTTCAGGTTTTTATTTCCATGCTTCTTTTCCGCTGACATTTGTGGTCACTACTTTGCTATTATTTACTTGGTCATCCTACCTATAAGCTTAGATTCACTTCACAGGACTCCAGGAAAATTTTTCATTAATCACTTATTAATATTGGGCAGAAATCCATGCGTCATTATCAGAAATTACAAACCAGTATTACCTGTTGTGATCTTTCCTACAAGGGAGCTGAATTATGATCCTGAGAAGTTAAAGGGTTATTCTCTTCTCTTCTCTGCCGTCAGGTATCTGAAAGAGATTAAATTATTTTTTAAAGGCCTGTTGAGAATGTGATTATACAACCACTCATGCAATTTGACATCGTCAGAGTCAGGACATTCTTCCTGATGGCCACCCAAACCTCTCCAGCTGCAATAGAAGCCCACTTTAAATTTGATTTTTAGGACTAGGAGACTCATTGAACTCTTGTTTTATAGATGAAAGAACAGTGGTAAAGACAAGGCACCGCAGTGTCATCATCATCAGTGTTTCAAGCAACGAATGGGGTGGAGAAACAGCCTTGTGATAGGCCTTCCTTGCCCACGGTTAGACCTTCTATCCACCATCATGAGTGAGCCGAGATCAATTTTCAGCCCCCAAAAGGCCCCAGCCCCACATGCCATACAGCGTAAAGCAGCAGAGAGTATGAGTGTCCTTCATAGAAATATAATTTTAAATAATGCATAAGATCCTAGATTACACTCATGAACACTTTAATTACACTCACATTCAATGCAAGGCAAGAAGGCTACTTTTCCTAATATAACCCTTCTCTATTATATCACACATACGTCACAATACATCCCTCCATGTGGAAACACAGGAACTGTTCGGAGAAAGTTAAAAGGGCTGGGGGAAAAAATCTGTGCAGCTTTCTCTTGTCTGACATGAGAAATAGATGTCACTAATGCAAATCAGGACAACTGAAGGTCTCGTGATAGTGTAGCATTCAGTATTTTAATGCCAACATCAAGAGAATTCAAAAAAGAGACATTTTTTCTAATTCTTTCCCCTATGTCTCTTATATATGTATGTGTCTGTCTATGTACGTGTGTGTGCCCAGACCACACAAATATAGTACTAGTAAAAAATAAATGGCACAAAAAAAGGTTGAGTCTACTCGCTTCTAACAAAACTTAGTATGAGTTTCTTACAGGTGTATCCCATTTTTAAGGGATAACCCTCTTTGAAAATTGATCATCCAGCTCTCCCCATCGAGAAGCTCTCAGGGAAATTTGTTAGATGGCATTTGATTTACAAAGGCTAGCAAAATGCTCATAGGCAGGTCCTTCTGTTTGAAGCAATTCCAGAGATGGCTCTTCCGCGCCAATGCTTGAGATAGAACAATCCAGCACTCCCTACCAAGCAGAACAAAGCCCACATTTCACACAGCTCCAGATATCCTCGGGCTTCCCAAGTTACCACCTGTGATTTGGATCTAAGCAAACAAAAAACTAAAAGAGGAGACAAATCATCAGTGAATCTCTTAGGTGCTGATCCACAAATACTAGGAGCCAAGGGAAATAACCAGGAAGGTCTTGAAGTGATGCTACCAGAAAGGGAATTATGATCCGGTTGGCCCCAGGGAACCTGTTGGGATAAATCATATGACTGAAATGTCAATACTGAGGAATGCAATCTGTGAAGAGAGGACAAAGAGGTGGGGAAAGGAGGGTCTGCGCTATAGATCAAAAAGAGTTGGACTTGCAATGAAATACAGGTGGATGATAAAGGAAGTAGCAACGCTGAAGCTTTATGAGTTAAGGTAAAAGAAATATATGAAATAAAAGGGAATTAGCAGTGGGTGTCCTCTGTGCACTACTAAATCAGGATGAACTCACTGATAAATTACTGCAGAGGGAAAAAAATCAGATGCCCATGTCCCCATAAATAAATAAAATGTAGCACGAGGTATAAATCTCAGCGTAGATGTCTTGCCTCTCCCTGATGCTACCTACTAAAATTTTCCAATGTTCTTCTCCCTCTTTTCCTCCCTCTAACTCCCAGGTAAAGGTGGGTGCTAAGATCCCTGTTTAACTTCTCGCCTTTGGATTAATGACGATATTCTTGGCATCAGTCCTTTAGGTCCCTTAGGCAGACTTGGACCACGCTGGGGTTTAAAGGCACAATATAAATAAACCAAACATAAGTAAAATGCTTAATGACAAGATCATGCAACTCTGCTACTCTAGATTTCAATTACTGAGACATTTCTTAAGGGATAATAAAAAGAGCAAGATTCAGGTCACCCGGGAATTTTTAGAGCTGCGTTGCTGTGAGTTGCTTGTTTCATAAAGTGGAAAAGGGCAGGCAGAGGTGAGGCAATTTGGGCCTGCTCACGACAAATAAGGAAGAAACAATCAGGAATCTGGAGGTGAAGGGCGCTTGGGATCGTGACCTGATTCCATTTGCTATGCTGAGAGGAGCCTTATTTTGTGCAACTTCTCGCAGATACACAAAATAGGAAAAAGGTGAAACCATAAGAGAAAATTCTACCCCGAAAGTTAAAACTCACAAGGGAAAAATCTGTGAAGCAAAATTACACTGTGAAATGTCATTCTCTAAAGGGCTTAAACAAGAAGTGTGATAAATGTTATTACTCTGCAGTGCCATAAGGGTGTTGAGGACTCAATCACTGCTCCGATTTTGCCCAACAAGAGCAAGAAGGCGGTTGTAGGAAAACAGACCCTGTTCCAAAGTGCTTGCAGGGCTAAAGGCTGCAGGGGAGAAGCAAAGTGGGGGAAAAAACCACTAATACAGCCATCAAACTCATAAATAACTTTGGATCATGGCTGCTTCATCACCCTCTTGGGTTTAAAGGCACCACAAGGTCAGGGTAAGCAAAGAATGAATAAAGTTAAAGGTCAGAAAGGTTCAGTGAAAATCCAGTCAAGAACCAAAGGAAAACCAGCCTACACCAATCTTTAAGATTGATTTTCTCAAAGATCTCAGCAAAATAGTTGCAAGAAAACCCCCTAAAGTCACTCCAAGATCAGGCAAGTGTGTCTAAGACTGGAGAAGAACAGCTGCACTTCTAATCTAGGATACAGATAAAAGAGTATCCAAACAGTTAGAAATTAACACCCATGGAGATGGTTCCCAGACATGTGATCACAGGAACTTTACAAAATGTGTGTGTGTGCCTGTGTGTGTAATACATATATATATATATATATATCACAAGTCATGTCATCGTGTACTCTAGTTGCAGTGCAAAAGAGACAGATTTTAATGAGTCGAGAGTGTTATTTTAAACATTTTTTTTCATACTTTGTTTTCACCTTTGAAATGGTTCAACCTCAAGGCTATATAATCCAAGTTGTGATCAAGCCTTCCCAGGCTGCAGTCAGCCTAATGAGGTCCTCGGCAGAGAGCCCATAAATTAAAGGAGGGATCTGTGGGCACCATAAGAGAGTCAAGAATTCAAAGAGGGAGTCAGCTCCCCGAACTCTCCTTGTGTACCTGGGCAACTAGCTGCGAACAAGGAATGTTCTCTCCCAGTGCACAAGGCCACTTGCACACTTATTAGTAAGTCAAAGCTACCACCAAAAGCAGGACAGAAGACTGTGAGCCCAGGTTAGGGCTTCCCCAGGAGGGATGGCAAAAGTCCACACTCGCGTACCTGCATAAATTGATAGGAAAAGATGCCAATGACATACTAACTTTTACAAAAAGAAAGTTATAGAATAATATATACAGTATGAGCTCATTTTTGTTTTAAAAAAAAAGCACAAGTTATAAATGTATGTATTTTAGGAGCATAGAAAAAGAACTGAAAAAATATACAAAAATTTTTAACAGTGTTTACTCAAGTAAAAGTGGGATAGGAGGGAGGACTTTTATTTTTATTTGATTCATTTCTGTGCTTAAATTTTTATAATTGTCTTATTTTTATAACTTTAAAAAAACAACTTTAATATTTTCAGAATTCAACCTTGGGATTTCCTAGCCACCTTTGTTGTTCAAATAAACCTCCATTTAACCTCCATAAAATCTCTTAAGGTCAAGAATACACCTTCTCTATGAAAAAAAGAAAAACTGGGTTAATACTCCAGGTTAAGGAGAGAAAGAAACAAAGTAACTATATACAACACATACGCCTGGCTCAGATCCTAAACCAAAGAAAGTTATTTTTTTTTCTCTTGCTATAAAGGATATTATTAAGATAATTGACAAAATTTAAATAAAGTCCATAGATTTAATACTATCATCAATTTAATTTACTGATTTTGATAATTGTACTGTGTTATATAAGAAAACACCCTTATGCTTAGAATAGTCACTAAAGTATTTAGCCATACAAGGGTAACTACTTGTCTTTTACTTACTCTCAATAAGATCAGAAAAAAGCATACAGATATAGATTTATAGATATGGATACACATACACACACAAAGAAAAAGCAATAGAAAACAAATGTGGTAAAATGTGGGCTATCTGAATGTACGCTATACAAGAATTCTTTGTACTATTCTTGCAACTTTTCTATAAGTCTGAAATTATTTCAAAGTAAAGTTTTAGAAAATCAGGAAGGATGGAAGGAAGGAAGGAATTTTGTCTTCTCATTTACTCCTCTCTTACAAAGGACACTGTGGTCATCTTCTCTGTTTTATTTAGTTGACTTTATTCATTTACTTAGTTTGATCTTGCCAGTGAAATCGGATATATCTTCAGGAAGAAAATGGCATTTTCACAAATATTTGAGTCTAATTTAGCTAATAAACATATCTCAAGATATTTCAAAGGCAAATATAGCAAGTGTGATTGACCCAACTTACTAGTAGGTAAGAAGATTTAAGGAATTTGGACAAAGTCATAGACGAAGTCAATGGTAGGATTAGAAATAGAACGCAAGTTTCCTAGCAGCTCATTCAGTATGATTTTTTTTAAACCAGAATTTTGTGATGCAGCAGCTTATTCTACAGTGGAAAATTGCCCCTGGGAAGCTACAAGAGTTCATCAAAGGCGGAGGGTCAGAGTCCTCTGTCTGCTGTGGTGAGACACTGGTCATATTGCTATGCACCCCATAAATCACAAATAATAATATCCTGAGGCATTCTCTTCTGTATTAAAAGATAAGAACTCTGTTTTTGTTTCCAGAACCATTGCTCTCTTTCCCTGCTTCACATGGCTCATGTAATTCAGAAGATAGACTTCATTCAAAGAATGAAAAATAGGTGAGTCTGAATCCCAGTGCCTCTCTCCATCAATTCAGCAAGCTGCAGAACGTTATCTGCCTTGTAAGTAGC